GTCGCAGTAGTAGTAGTAGTAGTAGTAGTAGTAGTAGTAGTAGTAGTAGTAGTAGTAGTATTAGTGGTAGTAAGTAGTAGTAGTAGTAGTAGTAGTAGTAGGGGAAGTAGTAGTAGTAGTAGTAGTAGTAGTAGTAGTAGTAGTAGTAGCAGCAGTAGTAGTATTCAGTCTTAGTAGTAAGTAGGTAGTAGAAGAAGACTTAGTAGTATTAGAAGTAGTCGTAGTAGTTAGTAGTAGTAGTCGACTTATTTTAATATCTAGTTTAATACTATCTACTAATACTACTTAATACTACTTTTACTTACTATACTACATACTATCTACTACTACTATTTCTACTACTACTACTACTACTACTACTACTACTACTACTACTACTACTACTACTACTACTACTACTACTACTACTACTACTACTACTGCGACTACGACTATTAATATTACCTCTACTACTACTACTACTACTACTACTACTACTGCTACTACTACTACTACTACTACTACTACTACGACGACTACTACTACTATTACTATTAGTACTACTACTACTACTACTACTACTACTACTACTACTACGACTACTACTACTACTACTACGACGACGACGACTAAGGACTGACTACAAACCATTAGCTACTAACCTACTGGGTACGAACCTCCTACTACTTACTACATACGACCAGCTACTAACAAAAGAATGTAAATTTCGCTCGGACAACTATTCATTGCTGAATACCGACTACTACGTTCTATCCACTAACACCTAGCTACGAGCTGCTAGCTACGAACTACTACCAACTTGGTCGACATGTAGTTTAGTAATATTACATAGAAGAGTTCCTTCTCTGGGCAAAAGAAGCCAGACCGATGGGAAATCTCTGTAGCCCCTTAAGGGCACCTCATTGCGATTTGCGAAAATCAGTTTTGACAGAAGTGTGAGGATCCTCGATGAGGTCTCACCCGGAAAACTAACCCTTTCCGAAGGTTCCCCAGGAATCTACAAGGATTCGGTAGTACACCCGGAGAACGAACCCCCGGAGAACGAACCCTTTTCCCGGAGAAAGAACCCCTCGCCACGGGGGGGGGGATTCGAACCCCCACCACGCCCTGAATCCACGGGGGGGGGGGGGGACCCGGTTCCGACCCCCCCCCATCCGAGCGCCCACAAAATGCGCTCTTTCCCAGCTGTGTCTGCCTAGTGCAGTGTAGGAATACTTGAATAATATGAATTTGGCGCGTTTCTGTTGGCTCGAAATCAATTTCATGGCATGGTTCCTCTGCAATTCAGCGGGCACAGTGTGCATGGTGATCGGATTGTACACATGCAAAGCGTGAGGAGCCGCAAGAAAGGCTGCCCACGCTGTTGCTTTGTCCACGCGGGCCGCCACCTCCATTATTCTGTCACCACTAACTGTGCAATGACCGACTGGATTCGCTGGCTACCCTGGCATATCTTGGGCCCAGATGACAGCTGGAGGAGGAGAAAGAAGAGGAGGAGGAGGAGCAGCAGAAGCAGCAGCAGCAGCAGGAAGAGCTCTGCACCTCGGTCCCCCCGAACCTCCTCGCTCCTCGATTCTAAACTCCCCATCGAGGAGGGGGGTAAGGGGGAGGAGGAGGAGGAGGAGGAGGAAGAGGAGGAGGAAGAGGAGGAGAGGGAGGAGGAGGAGGAGGAGGAGGAGGAGAAGGAGGAGGAAGAGGAGAAGGAGGAGAAGTAGGAAAGCGATCCTCGATCCCCCTCGCCCTGCTGGCCTTCTGCGCGCGGCCGAGGGGCCGCCGCTGCGCGACGCTTCGGCCGAAGGGCACGCCTTGCCTGCGCGGCGCTCGCGCCCCGCCCTCGCGCGGGGGGCAGTCCGCGACCGCGGGTCCGCGGGCCGCCCGGCCACCGTCGGGGCCGGAGGGTCGAGGACAAGCGAGAGCGGGCGTCGCTGGACCGGGAGGACTTCTCGTCCATCCTTGTGCCCCCGGGAGCTGCCGGTGTTCCACGATTTCGGCCTCTGGGGGCCGTCCTGGGCCCCAGGGCCGTCACTGATCGAGACAGGGTGGGAGACATTGCCAGGATGAAGCCCAGGCGGGCTCCAGGGGCCGAGCTTGAATGGATCTTGAAGACCAGGGAGGTGGAGGAGGGGGAGCAGCAGCAGCAGGAAAAAGCTGTGCGCGCCCGGTGGGGAGCTCATGAACTCGGATGGCCAAGCCGCTACCGTCGGGAACCTTTGCTTTTAGCGTGTCGCGGCGGCGGCCCCGGCGAGACGCTGTGGCCCGCGGCGTGTCGCCCCGCTCCGCGGGGCGGGAGGCGGGGGAGAGGCTCGGGACTTCGACGCTCGGGGACCGGGGGCGTGGACAGCGTGCCGCACTGGGGCGCGGTGGGCCGAAGCCGGCGAGGCGGCACGCTGTCCAAAAGGGCCCGGCCGCCATCGACGTGCCTGCTTTATGGGTCCTGCTTTTGCCGCGGCGGGGGCGTCAGGAGAAAGAGGCGGAGCAGGAGCAGGAGCGGCAGCGGCGACGGGAGAGCTCGGGCAGGGGCGCGAGGGGTCGCGCCTCCTCGGGTGTTGCCGAAGCTGCCCCTGGCCCAAAGGTGCGCCCCCCGGTTCCCCTCAACTTGGGAGCCCCGGGGTCCCCCTGGGCCTCGTGAGGGGTGCGCTGAAGGCTGCGGGGGCCGCCTTGGAAATCCTGGGGCACCTTCGGCCAGGGGCACTTCTGGCAACACCCGACCTCTGAGCGCGGCCTGCAGGGCCTCGGCCCTGCCGGAGACAATCAGAGCGCCTGAGTCCGCCGACGCCCGAGCAGAGTGGGCCGGGTGGTCGGCAGGCGCGGGGCCCGGGAGGGACACTCCAGACATGGGGGCGCTGCCGTGCAGCTGTCAGGGCACCGGTGTGCATGGCTCAGTCATCATTGGAGGTCTTCTGGTGCCCGACAATGTTGCACAGGTGGTGCAGCAAAGGGTGAGGAGGAGGAGGAGGAGGAGGAGGAAGAGGAGGAGGAGGTGCGGAGCAGATCAGACGAAGCAGGACTGGGAGCACGAGCAGGAGCAGCAGGAGCAGCAGGAGGAGTAGCAGGAGGGGCAAGAGGAGGCAGGAGCGGGATGATCAGGAGCAGGAGGGAGCTTACAGAATTCAAGGGCCCCACAGAGCATTGTCGCAAACAGCGAATGGTCAGGATCGTCAAGCCAAAGAAGTGGCAGGGACCGGAAAAGCGGAAAAAGAGGGAGCGGAAGGCCCATTCGGAGCATCCTCCACCCGACGACGACGGAGCGGCCCGTCGACTCGAGGAGGAGCAGGAGGAGGAGGAGGAGGAGGAAAAGGAGGAGCAGGAGGAGGATCGAGCCAGAGGGGCGTGACTGCAGGCGGCGGCGGGGGGCGACATGGGGATGGAGATGGCGCTGCTGCCGCAGGTGTAGGAGTGGATCTGCGCTCCGCTCAGCCACTCGGGAACCTGCCGCCCCCGCCCTCATCTGGCGCACGCGTGCCTCGGAGCGCGGAGACTCCCGAAATTCGGAGGGCAGCGCTCAGGAAGGGAGGGGAGTGGAGGGGAGGGAAGGGGAGAGGAGGGAAGAGCAGACGGGGGGGCAGGGGTCAGGAAGGAGTGGAGGGTAGAGAGGGAGGAGACCGGCGGAAAGGAAAGGGTGTGGGGAGAGGAGAGTCAGCACTTGTTGGTGCTGGCATGACCAAAAGAAGTCTTGAAGTCAGATAATGATAAAGACGCTGGGCTGGCAATGAAAGAAGGACATCTCCATCCGCCTTGCGCTCAGCATAGCCAGCAAGGAAAGCCACCTAGCCATGAAATTGACGGCAGAGGATGTGCCTTCGTCGGGATCCCTGGCAGACCTATGCTTGGACCCGACGCAGCGGCGCCGCAGCCATGGACGGTGGCAGTCGCGCCATGGTGCCGTGGGCCATAACCCTTTGTCCAAAACAGAGGACACAGGTCTACAGTCAACCCGTATAGTAAGGATGCGCGATAAGGATGCAAGGGCCTTGGAAACCCATTTCGAAGCTTTACGAGCGGGGCGCGGCCAACGAAAGTAGCCAAGAATGGACTGAGGAGGCAAGGATGCAGGGGTACCCTCGGGAAGGTGGCCCGTCCTTCCTCTGTGGGTTGACTGTACGGAGTCAATGAAACCACGGGGCCATGCAGCCGTGGCCATGAGGCCATGGGGCCGCATGGCCCCAACGACGGGCTGGGGATGGCGGCTGTGGCAGATCCCGGTGGGCACGGGAAGGGACTCGGCACGGCAGGGGCCATAGACGGCGTGCCCCAAACCAGACAACAACGTGTCCGGCGTGACCACACGCTGGAGGTGGATCCTTCCGAAGCCGAGCCATAGGATGCAGAGCAAGGCAAGGCGATGCGAAGCATCGCCATGCAGAACATTTCAACAAAACGCTGAGCAATGCGACGCAGCACGAAGCAAAACCACCATACGTTTGACGGCGTAAATCCTGAACTATGGGATATTGCACCCTCGGTGTGCGCCCAGTGCGGCTCACTGGATGCAACATGCGCGGTTCAATTCGCCAGCCCCTTCGGGCTTCCCAGCGTGTTAGAGAACTACCCCTTCCCCAACCCCTGACCCTTGAACCCGGCCCAGTCGATTTGGAGAGGGGGTCCCCCGATGGCGCCAGGGCAATGATCTGCTGCAGAAGCGCTCCTGCTGCAGAAGCCTCCACAATTGCGCCAGACGGTTCCACGACGATCGAAGAGCTCCTAGACCTAAGACGGCCCAAAAGAGCCCCACGAAGGAAGAATATGGCTTCACGCCAGCCCACGAGGCCGCCAAGACGCCTTCAGAGGGTGCCCTATAAAGCCGTCAAGGGGCCAAAAACTGGGATTTCCATTGAGTCGGTTGTAAATTCTGGAGCACTCGCGCTTCCCAGTTTCAGGACAGCCAAAACGGCCCAACAGGCCCCAAGACCGGCCGTAGAGACCCAAAGACAGTTGAACTGAAGCGTAGTGGCAAGCGCAAGGTGGAAGACAGAAGGGTTTGGGGAACAGGAGAAAGCTTAGGATAATGCCGGACCCAGATGAAGTCTCACACGGGGTAAGATGTGTACAGGTTGGAGGGGGACGGGGATATACAGCACGTGGTAGCGAGAGATCGAAAGCAGGAGGTAGGAGTTTGAAGATGGGGAGGTGAGGATGGAAATCAGCGAGGTATAGCGCGAGGGGGGGAGGGTGACGAAGGTCGTCGGCATCTCTCTCTCTCGGACTTTCCCCCTTATACGCTGCTCCGCGCTGGCGCCTCGGGCGGGACGTCGCCGAAGAGGAAAGGCTGGAAAGCTCCAGCCTATCAGGCGGATCCAGTTATGTCTCTCTCTCTCTCTCTCTCTCTCCCCCTCTGAATCTACATATCGCTATATAACATGTGGAGATACATTCACATGCATAGACATATACGCAGTAGACGTATACCGACAGAGTATGTCTGCATCTCTACGTATCGGAGGTGAAGGGGTGAGATCGAAGTGGAACGGAGAGCCCCCCTACCGGGAAATCGATTTCGGTTTCGTGTTCGTGCGTGCCGTGCGTGCGGGCGAGGCGAAGCTGCGTGGGCGGGCGAGAGGAAAGTCTCCTGTGGCTGAGGCGCGGCCGGACCAAATGACTCTCCACCGGGCGGCCGGTGGCGCGCGGTGTCCCGCCGGTGTCCCGGTGGTGTCCTCTGTGGCTGAGGCGCGGCCGGACCAAATGATTCTCCACCGGGCGGCCGGTGGCGCGCGGTGTCCCGCCGGTGTCCCGCCGGTGTCCCGTCGGTGTCCCGTCGGTGTCCCGAAGATGATGATGTTGATGTTGATGTTGATGTTGATGTTGATGTTGATGTTGATGTTGATGTGATGATGATGATGATGATGATGATGATGATGATGATGATGATGATGATGATGATGATGATGATGGTGCTGATGATGATGGTGATGATGATATAGATATGGAGAGACCGGATGTGATATCGATCGTGAGACCGAATGTGAGATCGATTGTGAGACCGAATGGGAGATCGATAGTGAAATCGATAGTGAGACCGAAAGTGAGATTGATTGTGAGATCGATTATGAGATCGATAATGAGATCGATTGTGAGATCGATTGTGATATCGATAATAAGATCGATAGTGAGACCGAATGTGAGATCGATTGTGAGATCGATAGTGAGATCGATAGTGAGACCGAATGTGAGACCGATGGTGAAATCGATAGTGATATCGATAGTGAGATCGATAGTGAGACCGAATGTGAGATCGATAGTGAAATCGATAGTGAGACCGATTGTGAGATCGATTGTGAGATCGATTGCGACATCGATAATAAGATCGATAGTGAGACCGAATGTGAGATCGATTGTGAGATCGATAGTGAGATCGATAGTGAGATCGATAGTGAGACCGAATGTGAGATCGATTGTGAGATCGATAGTGATATCGATAGTGTGATCGATAGTGAGACCGAATGTGAGATCGATAGGGAAATCGATAGTGAGACCGAATGGGAGATCGATAGTGAGATAGACAGTGAGACCGAATGTGAGATCGATAGTGAGATCGATAGTGATATCGAGAGTGAGATCGATCGAGTGCAACGTTGGTCCGTCCCCCCCCCCCTCACCTCCTTATCACCCGAAGGGTGGTCGTATAGGTATATGTATATATCTACCGGAGGTGAGGGGGTGAGATCGAAGTGGAACGGAGAGCCCCCCTACCGGGAAATCGATTTCGGTTTCGTGTTCGTGCGTGCCGTGCGTGCGGGCGAGGCGAAGCTGCGTGGGCGGGCGAGAGGAAAGTCTCCTGTGGCTGAGGCGCGGCCGGACCAAATGATTCTCCACCGGGCGGCCGGTGGCGCGCGGTGTCCCGCCGGTGTCCCCCGGTGTCCCGTCGGTGTCCCGATCATGATGTTGATGATGATGATGATGATGATGATGATGATTATGATGATGATGGTGATGATGATGATGGTAATGATGATGATGTTGATGATGATGATGATGATGATGATGATGATGATGATGATGATGATGATGATGATGATGATGATGATGATGATGACGTCGATTGCGAGATCGATTGTGATCGGTAGTGAGACCGAATGTGAGACCGAATGTGAGATCGATTGTGAGATCGATTGTGAGATCGATAGTGAAATCGATAGTGAGATCGATTGTGAGATCGAATGTGAGATCGATTGCGAGATCGATAGTGAGATCGATAGTGAGACCGAATCTGAGATCGATAGTGAGATCGATAGTGAGATCGATAGTGATATCGATAGTGATATCGATTGTGAGATCGATCGAATGAGATCGATAGTGATATCGATAGTGATATCGATAGTGAGACCGAATGTGGGATCGATTCTGATATCGATTGTGATATCGATAGTGAAATCGATAATGAGACCGAATGTGAGATTGATAGTGAAATCGATAGTGAGACCGATAATGCGATCGATAGTGAGATCGATAGTGAGATCGATTGTGAGATCGATTGTGAGATCGATAGTGAGATCGATAGTGAGACCGAATGTGAGATCGATTGTGAGATCGATAGTGAGATCGATAGTGAGACCGAATGTGAGATCGATTGTGATATCGATAGTGAAATCGATAGTGAGACCGAATGGGAGATCGATAGTGAGATCGATAGTGAGGCCGAATGTGAGATCGATAGTGAGATCGATAGTGATATCGAGAGTGAGATCGATCGAGTGGGACGTTGGTTCCTCCCCCCCCCTCACCTCCTTATCACCCGAAGGGTGGTCGTATAGGTATATATAAATAGATATATATTTATATATATACACGCCACGTTCGTGCTGCAAAGACCCCAGCGTTGGTTTCTGACACCGCGTGGATCGTTCAGGCTTGAACGATCCACGGCTCTTCGATCGCCAAATCGTTCCACCTTGGCCGATTCTGGGCCACTCGCGGCGTTCCACCTTGATCGCTCGCGGCGGGGTCGCCGCCGCGTCGACACGACACGAACCTACCGTGTCCCTGCGTTCACTCACTGCTCAGACATTCTGACTCGTACGGTTACGCGACCTTCTTTATCGAAGGGAGCATTCAAGTAACGATCGGCGCAAGTTCGTCCGCGTCGGCTCCCCGCCTCCATGCCGTGCGAGCGTCCACTCTGCAGAGTCAGGAGCTACTCCGCTCGATCTTGGCTGTGCGGCCAGCTGGCTCGAGGAGGCGGAGTCCAGCAACGGTACGAAGGAGAGGAGGAATGCAAGAATGCAGTAACGAGACCGCGTCTGCTCCCCATCTCAGACTTCCCGCTTCGTTTCCCCTTCCATTGTCCTCCGCCTCCTCCGTGCCTGTGCCCCTCCTCCCCACTGTTCGTCTTCGTCCTTCAAGTCATCATCCTCCTTCCCGAACTACTCCTCGTCCTCACGTGTCTGCGAGGGCAGTGCGACTCTGCCGTGAAATCCGGGCCCACGTCACCCAGAACGTGCCGCACTGGGCGACAGCACAAGTGGAGATAGCCGCGGTACAGCCGGCTCCCTTGCAATGCTGAAAGCAACGAGGCTGAGCAGCGACGGCGCTCGCTGAAGTGGAGAAATCCTCGTGCTCTCGCGCGCGAGCAGTATCCTCTGCATGGCATCCCTGCAGGCAGCACACAGCAAGGTGAAAAGCGAATCCGGCAAGAGATCATGGCAGGAGGGGCGCCTCCAGCCTGCCAATGTCGAACGCGGCCTCGGCAGGCCGGCAACCTGGAGGAGTGGTCTCGGCGCGCCACCGGGCCCATGCAGTGGACACGTACGACAAGGTTGTGGATGCCATGAGAACGGACACTCCAACAGCCCTATCATTGGCTTTAACATGCGCACTTCATGTTTTGAGAAGCCGTATGCAGAATGCCTCAGACATGTTCTCTGCATGTGTACAACATGGTCTAGACATCCGGGAATTACTTGTCAACATGCCTCCTCTCCATTGATCGTCTTCCACAACGATGAAATATCTGAATCTAGGGGCTCGCCTATTGTCAGGCTTAGAGCTCCCAGAGGTGGGGCTCAGGGCTCCTGTGGGCACACCCAGGGCCATCACAAAGGACAAGAAGATCCTGGTGGGGCACCTCTGCCGACAGGCCAGCTTCTTACTAAGCGCGCCGGCTGTAATCCAGCTCGGGTGCTCGGGGAGGGGCGGTGTGTGAAATCCTGAGGAGGAGCTCGAACTCGAGGGTCGTCGGTGCACCCGTCCACCTATACCTCCTCACCCCTTCCCCTTCCAGCCTCCCCCCCCCTGCGAGGCGTGCTGTGGCCCCCCCAGGGCCCGAACATGCCCATCTCCACCGCCTGCCAAGGTCCCCGAAGATCGATCCCCCGGCCGGTGGTTATGGATGAATCCACGCCTCGGACCCTCGTCCTCGACGGGTCAGGGGGGGGAAGGGTGACTGGACTCGCGGCCGTAACGAGACATCCCTGGGCAACCGCACGAGTCTGTCGAGTCGGAGCTCTTGGTTATCCACTAACCACCGATAACAAGCCCTCGGTGAGAGCAAGAGGCATGCATCCTCTGGCGCTAGCACGGGGGAACCGCGAGAAGCAGTAAGAGCACGGTAGGGGGGAAAGGGTGGGGGGTTGGGGAGCCGTCCTGGGGCCTTCTTTTGGCGCCATCATGGGCAATCACGACGCGTTCGAATCCCAGCCATCTGGGCGTAGGTGGCTTAGCGACGTTGTTTCTCCTCCTCCTCCTCCTCCTCCTCCTCCTCCGCCTCCTCCTCCTCCCTCCTCCTCCTCCTCCTCCTCCTCCTCCTCCTCCTCCTCCTCCTCCTCCTCCTCCTCCTCCCTCCTCCTCCTCCCTCCTCCTCCTCCTCCTCCTCCTCCTCCTCCTCCTCCTCCTCCTCCTCCTCCTCCTCCTCCTCCTCCTCCTCCTCCTCCTCCTCCTCCCTCCTCCTCCTCCTCCTCCTCCTCCTCCTCCTCCTCCTCCTCCTCCTCCCCCCGCGTCGTGACACTTCACCCCGTAGCTGTGGACTGGCTCTGACTGACAAATCTGGCGCGGTGGCCGCCCCTGGCCAAACGCAGGAGAGAAGGACGAGGCACTGGTGAAAGTCCGTCCGAGGCGAAGCCTCGAATGGAAGGGTTGGGGTGGACCTGTGGCGATGGTGGTCGTGGTAATGCGATGAAGAACGCAATGATGCCGATGGCGGTAGTGGTGATGATGATCACGATGCCAATGATAGTGATGATGATGATGGTGGTGATGATGATGATGACGATGATGATGATGATGTTGGTGGTGATGATGATCATGGCGCTGGTGATGATGATGAGGAGGAGGACGGTAGTGATGACAATGGTGACAGTGATGGTGATGATGATGATGCGACTGATGATGATGGTGGTGATGATGATGGTGATGGTGATGGTGATGATGATGATGGTGATGATGATGATCCTGGTGATGGTGATGATGGTGATGGTGGTGATGATGATGGTAATTATGATGATGATGACGATAACGATGATGATGATGGTTTTGCTGATGATAATGATGGTGGTGATGATGATGATGGTGATGATGACAATGATGGTGATGATGATAACGATGACGATGATGGTGACGATGGTGATGATGGTGGTGGTGATGATTATGATGGTGATGGTGATGGTGATGGTAATGTTGATGATGGTGGTGATGTTGTGATGATCATGGTGGTGAAGATGTTGATGATGGTGATTATGATGGCGATGCTCATGATGATGGCGATGATGATGACCACGATCATGGCCATGATGATGGTGATGCTGCTGATGGTGATGATGATGGTGGCGGTAATGGTGATGATGATGATGATTGTGACTGTGATGGTGAGAGTAACAATGATGATGGTTTTGATGGGGGGGGGTGATGATGACAATGAAGACCATGATGATGTGATGGTAACGCTGGTGATGGTGATGGCGATGGTGATGCAAGCCACGGACCTTGTAACGGCAATGATGATGGCGATGCTGATTATAATGGTGCTGGTGTTGATGATGTTGGTGATGATGCTGTTGAACATGATGATGGTGACGCGGATGATGATGGTGGTGCTGACGATGGTAAGAACGATAATGATCATGTTGATGGTGATGATGGAAGCGATGTTGATGCAGATGATGATGATGATGATGCTGATTGTGATGGTGACGGTGATGGTGATTGCGATGATGATGGTGATGGAGATGGTGATGGTGATGATGATGATGGTGATGGTGACAGTGACAATGATGATGAGTATGACGATGGTGATGGTGATAAAGATGATGATGATGGTGGTGATGATGATGAGGACGGTGGTGATGGTGATGAATATGATGCTGATGGTGATGGTGCGAATGATGATAATGATAATGATACCGATACTGATCGTGGTGATGATGATGGAGGTGATGATGGTGGTGGCGGCGATGGTGATATGATGATGGTGAACTAGATGATGCTGATGCTGATAATCACTATGATGATGATGAGTTTGCTTCTGGTGATGTTGATGATCATGGTGATGGTGGTGAGGATAATGACGATGATGGTGGTGACGATGATGATGATGATAATGCTGATGGTGATGCTGCTGATGGTGATGATTGTGGTGATGATGATGGCAATGACGATAATAATGATGATGATGCTGATGATGGTGGGGATGGCGATGATGGTGATCACGATGATGGTGATGGTGATGATGATGGTGGTGATGGTGATGATGCTGAAGATGCTGATGGGATGGTGGCGTTAATGCTGATGACGGTTGTGCTGGTGATGGTGGTAGCGCTAGTGATGGTGATGGCAATACTGATGATTATGACGGTGATGGTGGTGCTGATAATGATGATGCTAATCACCAGGATGCTAATGACGTTGATGATGATACTGAGGGTGGAACAAGAATGATGGTGATCATGGTGATGAAGATGATGACGATGATGGTGATGCTGATGATGATGATGGAAGTGATGCAGATGGTGATGGTGATGGTGGTGGCGGTAATGGTGATGGTCATGACGGTGATGGTGGTGGTGTTGGTGATGCTGATGACGGTGGTGGTGATGATGGTGATGATGATGATGTTGGTGGTCATGCTGATGCTGAAGATGATGGTGATGCTGATGATGACGATGGTGATGATGATGATGGTGATCACGATGACGGTGATGGTGATGATGGTGGTGATGGGGGTGGTGACAGTGATGGGAATGGTGAAGATGACGATGATGAAAATAACGATCAATGAAATGGTGATGATTATGGTGGTGATGCTGTTAGTGATGATGCTTGTGGTGATGATGATGATTGCGATGGCAATGGCGATGGCCATGATGATGAAGATAAACATGAAGATGGCTGATGGTTTTGATGATGAGTGTTGATGATAATGATGAAAATGGAGATGATGGAGATGGTGATGATAAGGGGGGTCATGAGCATGGTGATTGGCATAGTGACGGTGATGGTGATGCTGGTATTGACGATGGCAATGCTGGTGGTGGTGATGGTGATGGTGATGTTGATGGTGATGGTGCAGATAATGATAGTGGTGATGATGGTGGCGGTAGTAATGATCATGATGATGGTGTTGATGGGGTTATATTGGTTGTGATAATGATGGTGATGGTGCTGGTGGTGATGATGAAGAGGACGATAATGATAATGATGTTGATGATCACGACGATTACGGTGATGGTGATGATGATCGTGGTGATGATGATGGTGATGATGATGGTAATGGTGATGATGATGATCGTGGTGATGGCGATGAATGTGATGGTGATGGTGATGGTGATAGTGCTAGTGCTGACTATGATTGGGATGATGATGATTATGATGGTGACAGGGATGATGAGTTTGATGATGAGTGGTGATGAGAATGATGCAGATGACGATGCTGAATACGGTGAAGATGGGGGGGTTAATGAGCATGGTGATTGTCATGGTGACGGTGATGGTGATGCTGATGATGACAATGACAACGCTGGTGGCGGTGATGATGATGGTGATGTTGATGGTAATGGCGCAGATAATAATAATGCTGATGATGGTGGCGGTAGTAATGATCATGATGATGGTGTTGATGGGGTTATATTTGTTGCGATGGCGACGGTGATGGTGATGACGATGAAGAAGACGATGATGATACGGACTCCCCCCCCCCGCGGGCAGTCCTTCACCTTCAGGAAGCAGCGAGCAGCCGGACGCGGGCGCACTTCCGACACAGGGCCCCAACCCTGGCGCGCACCATCGAAGCGGTAGCGGCTCTCGAAATTACATCTCGAGCTCGGAGCGAGTTGAAAGCGGCATGCAGCGCACCAGTGGCAATATACAATGAGAGAAGCGAATCAGACGAGGCGATTGGCGGCGCGGCAAGACCAGAGGCAGCAGTAAAAGAGACGGCCCCCCACCAGGATGGGAGCGAGGGCAGAAGAGGACGGAGACAGGCAAGAATATGAGGGCAGCGAAGGTAGTGCTTCATGGTGTCGCTACCTTCGGCGTCGCACCCGAACCTGCAACGGGTCGCTCGGTTCCTGCGTCGAGCGGCAGTGTTCCAACTGTTAGTCCAAGTTTTCAAAGTGGCGACTAAAATCAAGGGGGCAAGCTGTTTGGCAGCCCACCCGAAACGAATCAACGCAGTATCTATTTCCTGACACGAGAGCTCTAAATTCCAGTACTTAAACCGAGGGACCAGAGACTCGCGAACATGTCTGGAGTCCAACTTAAACAAGTGCTT